GTGAATTCCCAGGGCCGGTGGAATAAAGCACAACTCCAGTAACGTGGAGAAAGAGGCAGCAAAAAAAAAGGTCAAATCCATCCATCCATCCTGCCTCGAGTGATTGTCCCCCTGTACTCAGCACTGGTGAGGCCTCACCTTGAGTGCTGTGTCCAGTTTTGGGCCCCCTACCATAAAAAAGACCTTGAGGGGCTGGAGCGGGTCCAGAGAAGGGCGACAAAGCTGGTGAGGGGTCTGGAGAATAAGTCTGATGAGGAGAGGCTGAGGGAGCTGGGGGTGTTCAGCCTGGAGAAGAGGAGGCTGAGGGGAGACCTTCTTGCTCTCTCCAACTCCCTGAAAGGAGGGGGTAGAGAGATGGGGGTCGGTCTCTTTTCTCAAGTCCCAGGCGACAGGACGAGAGGAAATGGCCTCAAGTTGCGCCAGGGGAGGTTCAGGCTGGATATTAGGAACAATTTTTTCCCTGAAAGGGTTCTCAGCCCTTGGAATGGGCTGCCCAGGGAGGGGGTTGAGGCCCCATCCCTGGAGGTGTTCAAAAGCCGGGTTGATGTGGTGCTGGGAGGTCTGGTTTAGTGATGATGCTCCTTGTTTGTTGTGTGGGTGTCTATTTTTGTCAGTCAGGCTGACGGTTGGACAAGATGATCTTTAAGGTCCCTTCCAACCTAGAAGATTCTGGGATTCTGAGGAGGAGAGGGGCTCGTTTCACAAGGATGGAGAGAAGATGAACCACCCCCTGGGTCTTCTCCACATGGGGAGCAGAGGTCTCTGCCTCCACCACCAGACAATTCCCCTCCACCGCTCCCTGGCACACGCTCCAGTGGCCCCCAGCATGTCCAGTGCCCCCCCCCCCACTGCCAGGCACAAGGACCAGCTCTATTTCTCTGCTGGAAAAAAAAGGAGTAGTTTCAACACCAAATCCATCCCCCTCCGGAGGCTTGTCTCATTTGTATTTCAAAGAGTTATTTCCTACCAGGGAGAGAGGTCTCTTCAGAGAGCTCATTACCTTGGTCCTTACAGACTTGGGCACTCACAGAGCACGAATCAAGAGCCTGAAACCAGCCCAATTCCACCCCCACCAAACGGGGGCTCTTCCCTTGCTAAAATCCGCACGAATCGTCTTAAAACCCAACCCGTTCGGCAGCGACACGTCCCTCAAAACCAACCCTACCCCGAGTCACACACACAAAAGCAAAGAGAGGGGAAGATGAAGGACCCGGGGCTCCCCAGGGGCCGTGGGCTGCGCTGATAACGAGATGGAGATAACGAGATGTAAAACCTGGAGCAGCAGGAAGGCTCCGAGTGGCCACGGGCACGAGCTCCGGGCTGGAGCTCCAGGAGAATCCCCGTGGGACAGAGCATCCTGCAGGCCAAGGCACCTTCTTACCTTCTTGGAGAGTGAGGAGACGTTCAAGCCGAACCTTTGAGCCCTTTCCTTTAATTTATCCATGTTTACCTACAAAGGCAGAGAAAACAATTGGTATTTTTTAAAAACCCAAACCAAGCAGCATCACTCAGGTCGCAGGGAGGGAGAGCAGGAGCCTCCCGGAACAAGCTCCTACACGTGTCCTCTCTCCAAGAGGAGAACACGAAGGATTTCTTACCGTGGGTTTGCTGTCTGCAGAGAGGCCTGAAAGGAGGAGGAAAGAGAAAAAAAAAGGCCGTCAGAGAAGGAACCCGAGGAGCAGCACCTCAGGAGGTGCAGAACATCCCCCTGCTGCCCTGTCCCACCACAGACCGGCGAGGAACGGCCGTCTCCCCCTTCCCACCTTCCAGCTCTGCTCACCACAGGGTCCCCCCTTTTCTTTTTCACCTTCAAATCATCCTCCCCAACCACAAAACTGCTGCCACCCCCTCTCCCTGGGCCAGTTTTGGCAACAGAACCCAGCATTTAGGGGGTTTTGACACCTCTTCAGGGGGACCACGGGGAAATCTGGCCCAAGTCTCCCAGCTGAGCTTGGAAGAGACACTGGGAAAAGCCTCTGAGCCACCAAAGCAACAACCATGTCCTTTTCCTCCTGATTCCACAACCTCCCCTCTGGGGAGCTCTGGGGCAGGAGAAGGGACAGGGGTGAGAACAAAGGTGGCCCCCACCAGCAATGGTTTTTTTCCTCCCCTCAGAAATAATTCAACGTTTGCAGCGAGGTCACTGCCCGGCTCCGTCTCCTCACCTTTAGTCGGAACCGTGGCCAACCCGAACCTGCCGAAGGCAAAGAGAGCTCAGTCAGGGGCTGGGACACAGTTTTGGGTGTGAGCTTCTCCTTCAAACACTCCTCAAACACTCTTTTCCTCCTCAAACACTCGAATCAAACTGGTTTGGGGGCAAGATGAACTAGAATACGCTTATTATTGGCCGGTGTAATTACTGCAGCCGCTCCTGCGCTTACTCTGTGCACAGAGATCCCCCCCCTTTCCTCACAAAACCAACCCCAAAGTGCAGAGAGTGAGTCCCACCCCCTGAACTTCACCCTTTTCCCCGTCCTTCCAGAATAACCCTGAGAACTGCTGGGAATCCCACTGGAATTTCAGCCCGAGGCACACATCGAGCACCCCAGGGTCTGACACAGCCCAAATGTGACACTGGGGGGGGGGTCTCCTGCCCCACGAGGGGCACCAGGTCCCTGTGACACCACACAGAATCACAGAATCTTCTAGGTTGGAAGGGACCTTCAAGATCATCTTGTCCAACCGTCAACCCGACTGACAAAAATAGACACCCCCACAACAAACAAGGAGCATCATCACTAAACCAGACCTCCCAGCACCACATCAACCCGGCTTTTGAACACCTCCAGGGATGGGGCCTCAACCCCCTCCCTGGGCAGCCCAGTCCAAGGGCTGAGAACCCTTTCAGGGAAAAAATTGTTCCTAATATCCAGCCTGAACCTCCCCTGGCGCAACTTGAGGCCATTTCCTCTCGTCCTGTCGCCTGGGACTTGAGAAAAGAGACCGACCCCCATCTCTCTACCCCCTCCTTTCAGGGAGTTGGAGAGAGCAAGAAGGTCTCCCCTCAGCCTCCTCTTCTCCAGGCTGAACACCCCCAGCTCCCTCAGCCTCTCCTCACCAGACTTATTCTCCAGACCCCTCACCTTCTTTGTTGCCCTTCTCTGGACCCGCTCCAGCCCCTCAATGTCTTGTTTTATGGTAGGGGGCCCAAAACTGGACACAGCACTCGAGGTGAGGCCTCACACGTGCCCCTAAACCCTGCAGGAAACCCCTCCTGGGTTCCCTCAGGCTGGGGGGAACCCCCACCACGGTTTTTCCCCACAGAGGGAGCGTTTCCACCTCCCACCAACACGACCTGCCCGGGGCAGACGTGGCTGGGGGGTTTCTTCTCCAGGAGAAGGCCACACCATGGACTCACCGAGCCGCCCGCGCCGCCTTCTTGCTCTCCAGGCTGACGGGCACGTTGAAGCGCTCAGCCCTCTTCTGCATGCGCTGCAGGGAGAGAAAGGAACCCGCTGAGGGAAAGGGGAGGTCCAAAGGGTATAAAAAGGGGGTTCTGTGGTGGGCAGAAGCTCCACTGTGCCCAGTTAGACCAGTCTGGAGAGGGGAAAACCATCCCCCGGCACTCTCAGGTAAAGGGAGAGACGCTGCAGGCACCTTCTCTCAGCTCGGGCTGGCCAAGAAGCCACCACAGAGTCACAGAATCAATCTTCTAGGTTGGAAGGGACCTTAAAGATCATCTTGTCCCAGGGACACACACTTGGCCAAAAGGCTCAGATAAACATGGGGCTAATAAAAAAATAAATAAATAAGAGCTAATAAAAAGAAGTATGGCCTTACTCTGCTGCTCCGGGAACGTTCCTCGGGAAGGAGAGGAGCCAGAGGAGAAGGGGACCAGGGAGAAAACAGACTTTTTTTCCATTTTAAGATGGAATATGGCTGCTGTGGAGGCTGGTGTGGCACCACTCAGCTCCCCTGGGGAAGGAGCAGCATCCAGGAGGGACCACCCCTCCCGGAGCAATCGATGGCCACAACTGGCCTCGGCTGATCCGCAAGGAAAGAGGCACCAACAAGATTCCCTTTCCTTCCCCCCTGAGCAAAAGGGCACAGAAACACACTAAAAAAAGGGATGGGGGGGGCAGTGTTTGCTTTCGGGGAACTTATTTAAAAATTTCAGCACAAGAGGCTGAGGCCCCCCCAGGCTCAGAGCCCCCTGCCCCGGGGCCAGGAAAAGCTCGGAAACATCGGGAGCTCAAGGGTTGGCACCTCCCAGTATTAAATCCCCTTAAAAGCTTAAGGGAAATATTTAACATTTTATTATTCCACAAGGGCGCAAAAATGTGTTTGGTGTTTCAGAGGTTAGAGAAACAGATATTATTTGAAGGGAAACATTTACTTTAGCCAAAAGCCCAGTGAGGAGCGTTAATAACCACTCACATCCAAACATGAATGTTTAGAAAAAAAGGGTTGGGAACGTCGCCCCTCACGCTGGCAGAGCTGAGGAGTTTTTACCCAAATCAATAGAAAAGACAGAAAAACGTATCACTTGGGTCAAAGCACCTTTCCTTGTTCTTCCTGACACTCTGAAGAGGAAACACCCAACGAGGCAGCTCCCAAAAGGCTCTCAGCAAGGAGAGAGCAGAGCCCCCACTGCCCAGGACCCCCTGTGGGGGGATGGGAAGGGTCCTGGGGGTGCTCTGCCCCCTTTAAACCCCCCCCAGACCCACAGCAAGCCCCTGTTATCCCTGATGGTCCCTTTCCCAGGAATCCATCTCGCTTTTCAAGCTCCTCTGTCACAGGCCACACGAACAGCCTCCAGCGTTCAATTATGCATCGCACAGGAAATAATTCCCTTTTATCCTCAAAAACCATCTACGACACAATTTCGCCGAGATCTGATTATTCACACTCAATCAAACGGGCTCTGGGGACACACACACTCCCCCCCCAAGTGCTGCCCCCAGCTCTGGGGACATCAGAAGGACATGGAGATGTTGGATGGGGGTCAGAGGAGGCCCCGGAGATGCTGGGGGGGCTGGAGCCCCTCTGCTGGGAGGGGGGGCTGAGAGAGTTTGGGGGGGTTCAGCCTGGAGAAGAGAAGGCTCCGGGGAGACCTTGGAGCCCCTTCCAGTCCCTCAAGGGGCTCCAGGAAAGCTGGGGAGGGACTCTGGATCAGGGAGGGAAGCCATAGGATGAGGGGGAAGGGTTTGACACTGAAAAAGGGGAGATTTAGGCAAGATCTGCGGAGGAAATTCTTCCTCCTGAGGGTGGTGAGAGCCTGGCCCAGGTTGCCCAGAGAAGCTGTGGCTGCCCCATCCCTGGAGGGGTTCAAGGGGCAGGTTGGAGGGGGCTTGGAGCAACCTGGGCTGGTGGAACCAGGTGATCTTTAAGGTCCCTCCCAACACAAACCATTCCATGATTCGACAAAAAAAAAAAAAAATCAAAACCCAACAAACTTTGGAGAAAAAGAATTTGGAGAAAAAAAAAAAAGAAGGGCAACAAGAGCGTAACTTCAGCAATTTCACTTAATGAGCTCTTTAACCAGCAAGGGCCAAGGGCAGCCCCACACCACGGGGGCCGTGGCTCCTGCAGCAACACTTCCAGCTCCCCCCGGGTCCCGTGTTTCTCCTCATCACACCCTCACTGAGGTCATAATCCCCCGCTTGCGACATCGCCCCGGTTGCTGTGGAAATGCTCGTGTCCCAAACAGAAGATTAAACCTCTGAAGTAGGGGTGAACAGCAGGGAGACAAGAATCATGTTTTCATAGTGATTTCTTTCTTATGGAACACGAGCAGAAAAATAAGGGGGGGGGGGGGGGGGGGAACACACAATCGGATTCCTCAAACTCAAAAAGTTTCGCAAAGTTTCCCCAGAGGAATCGGCGGCTTCTGAGTGTGTTTGTTTTAAATAAGCCCAGCAAAATTAAGTGACAAAGTCAGCGAAGATAAAGAGGAGATGATCTGTTCGCTCCTATCAGTCCCCCCCCCCAAAGAGAATCCTTTCTGAGCTTTGTAGTTTCACGTGGCTGAAGCAATGGGGTTTGTGGCAAGTCCCGAGGGACGGGGATGAGCCGCAGCCACAGCGGAACTTTTCATGTTTGCAACAGCAGGAAACACAAATTTATACACCAATTTATACACCAGAGCCACCCCCGAGGCTGTTTGAGTCTCCCATCCGGAGCAGAGAACGCTACGGGGCAACGTTCCCCCTTTATCTGCGAGGGAACAGCACCCCAGTTTGTGGCTGCTAAACTGGAAATACTGGGGTAGGGTCCGTGGTGGTGGTGGAGGGAGGGACAGGGCGGCGAGGAAAGAGGTGTCAACGGGCAATTGAGAGGAACAGGCCTCAAAATCCAACGTCAAAACGAGACGTGCCACGGGGTCACCACCCCCCAGGTCACCCCTCAGCCCGTCCTTGATAAAACCTCCAAGAAAAACCAGGCAGTTTTAGGTGGAAACACGGAGCCAGCCCCAGGAACGCAGGGAAGAAGCTCCAGGTGAAGGGAATAAGGGAAGCAACCCCTGGGAGGAGGCAGCAGAAGGAACCTTACCTCCATCTGTGAGATTTCTGATGTGATTTTCACCACCTTCTTTTCCGTGATCCTAGAGGTGTTGGGGAAGAGAGAAAAGGGGTCAGAATAGCCCCCCAGTGCCAGGGGTGCCAGGGGGTCTCCTCCCCACCTGAGGGCCTGCTTTGGGAGACGGGAGGAGCCCCCTCAGGGTGCTCAGAGCTGGGTGAAGCTGTGAAACTTCTAACCCAAATCAGGGGGTACCAGGGGCAGGAAACACACCACGCAGCGAAGGTGCAGCCCTGGGCTCCCCCCACCAGCCTGACCAGTGCCTTCAGTGCCCCCCAGTTCCTCTGGCAGGGGTAGGGAGCTGGAAAAGGCACCAGAACCAGCCCCACTCTCTACACAGGCTCAGAGGAATAATTAAGCTCTGTTTTAGGCAAAGAGAAACCTTCTCCAGTTTTAGGGGGGTGCTGCAGATGGGCCCCAAAACACCGGGTGGATCTTACAGCGAGAGGCCACAGACCTCTGCACCCAAAAATACCCCCCCTGCAGCTCTCAACAGTCACATCCAGTTCTTGTGAGAAGCCCAAAGCCTCGACTTGCCAGCCCCGAAGAAGAGCTTTATTCCTTTATGGCCCTCAAATACAAAGGGTTGTTCTGTTCTAGTTCATGGGGCAGCCCCAGGCAGCTTCTCCCCGGGTCAGCACCGCACCCCGCGCCCCGGCTCCGTTTCAAACACACACTTCCTGAACAATGCGCGGCCGACAACAGCGGGGACCCGTAAAAAAAAAAAAGACCCGCACGAAAAATATAATGGAGTGGGCGTGCTCCAAAGTTTATGCTCCCAAAACAGAGCTCGGGCTGGAGGGGGGGGTTGGAAAACAAAAGAGGAAGAGACAAAGTTCGGAAGTTCCCAGGCTAAACGAAATAGCACCCTCCTCCTCCCAAACAACTCCCCATAAAACAGTGGGTCACAGCCAGCCTCATTAAGGTCGCCCATTTAGAAAAACGCGCTGCTTTTGTTCCCCGTTCCCGGACAGGTTTCTCATTTTATGCCCTGAAAGGTAGTAATGGTTTAATGGCACTTTCACAGGAAGCAATTCTGGCCTGGGGAGCCGGGACACGGCGCTGCCAGCGCTCGGCGGGCACAGCACGCCCCCTCCTGCCCACTAGCCCCGGGGCTCGTCCTTCTAGCCACGCTGGAGGGGAGAGTGGCCACGTAGAGGGACAGAGGGACCCCCACATTACCCCCAACAGGGCTGGGGCAAGAGCTATGACCCTGCTCCAAGGCTTGCTGCCACCTCCAGCCAGCCCTAACGCAGACACGGGGCTGTAGGAAGCCCCCACGGGGCTGTAGGAAGCCCCCACGGGGCAGGAAAAAGCCCCCACGGGGCAGGAAAAAGCCCCCACGGGGGGGCTGGGGGAAAAAAGCCCCCACCTGGGGGGCTGGGGGAAAAAAGCCCCCACCTGGGGCTGGAGGAAAAAGCCCAAAGGGGGGGGCTGGGGGAAAAAAGCCCCCCCG